GAGAATATACTTACACAGAGAATACTGTGTCCTTTTATAGAAGGGACTGGAGCATCCATGGATTGGGGGTCTTGGGAGTTCTAGAACCAATACCCCACAGATATCAAGGGATGACTATATTTAACATCATATCTTAAGGACTCATCCACAGTCCACTTCTCCCTTAAAATTAAAAATATCTTACTGTTAAAGAGAGCATTTCTTGATAAAGAGCTCAGTTTTTTGTTTTTTTTGTTTTTTTTTTGGTTTTTCTCCGGTACCGGGAACCGAACTCACGACCTTGTGCTTGCCAGGCAGGTGCTTTTGCCGCTGAGCTAAATCCCCAGCCCCAAGAGAGCATTTCTTAAAACTTAACTTTTCTTTTTTTTCTCCTGCACACACTCAGGACCTGATGGCAGTGAAATGTTTCTGATGTTTGAATACACTGAAAGCATTTGGAGTGTGCTGAAAAGAAAAACCCCCTTTATGCTTCGGTCCCATGCCCTTGCAGGGACCCTGGAGAGAATATCGAAGGTGTTCAGAATGGACACGGCACTAGTTCCAGCCCAGTAAGAACAAGATGGTTCACAGCCACTGTTCCTCCCTCCACCTCCTACACATCTTGCTCCCAATGATAAGGACAGCAGCAGCCCACCACCAGTTATGGAATCATGAACAGTTAAGCAGTAACAAATAGGATTTTACATATGGTGGCATTTAAATGCATACAATTTGTAACGGTTTTGGATTTTTGTAAGCATTTATTAATTTTATAAAACACTGAGTTATGTCTATGGCCATATCACCCTGAACGTGCCTGATCTAGTCTGATCTTGAAGCTATGCAGGGTCGGGCCTGGTTAGTACTTGGATGGGGCACACTGGGTTTCAATGCATATATTTTGATTATATCTATTACCTTCCCTTATTACCACCCTCTCCCTCCTCCTTTTTCCCCTCCTTTTGTCTAATAACAGTCTCCCTTTTACTTTCATGCCATTTCTTTTTAGATTCCACTAGGGAGAACATGCAATATTTGTCTCTCTGATCTGGCTTACTTTGCACTACATGATGGTCTCTGATTCTATCCATTTCCCTGCACGTGAAAAAACTGTGTTCTTCTTTTGGCTGAATAATACTTCACTGTGCATATATACCATGTTTTTTTCTATCCATTCATCTGTAAGTACCTCAGCTGGTTACGTATCTTGGCTATGTTGAATGGTACCACAATGAAAATGATTATGCAGGTGCACTTAAGGGTTTACTGGCTTTAATTCCTTCGGGTATATACCAATAGTGGTATAGCTGGATTAAACTGTAGCTCTATTTTAAATTTTATGAGGAACTTCCATACTGATTTCTATAGTGGCTGTAGTAATTTACAGTCCAGCAGCAGGGAAAAAGGGTTTCTTTTCCCACATCCCTGCCAGCATTGCTTTTTTATAGTCTAGATGTTAGGTTTTTTGAGTTCTTTATATACTGTATTCTGGATTTTAATCCTCTGTTGGAAGAGTAGCTGGCAGAGCTTTTCCTTTTTCCATAAATTGTTTTGTAAAGTTTACAAAATATGCAAAAACTTGACATTTCAGGAACTGAGTTAATTTAGATTTATTGAAAAGTTAAAGCCTTTGAGAGTCAACAAAAAGAATACTGTTTACTTATTTAGAGAGGTTTTTTTAGTACTGAGGGTCTTGTTGTTGTTTCTCAGCTTCTAGTTTATAATTTACAAGTTGAAACTGGCTATGACTGAGCTTTGACCACTTAATCTGGTTTTTCTACAATGTCTCCTGGGTCTCGGGCAGCAGTTAGAACTGCTCTAAATCCCAGGTTTCTAATCAAAGCATGTGGCAATCTTGGCTACCCTCTAAAAGTTAACACAAAAGTGTTTCATCTCTAGTAGGCATTGTAAAATGCTATTTTGACATAAAGTGGTACCACTGTCTCCGGAGAGCACAGGTCCCAAGGAGACTTTTCTCATGCCTGTCCCCTCTTCACTTTTTCCACACACTCCTTCTCATTCCAGTGCCATAGCCCTGCCAACCACCATTACCCTGCTGCCTTGGCTGTCCCCAGCTAGATGCTTCATCACAATGGCCCTCTCTCCTGAGACAATCAGGAAACATCTCTTCTGAAGCTGCTTCTCTGTCTGGCCTGTCACATGCAAATAGTACACCTTTTCACATGAGAGAATATTGTCACAGTTGCAAAAACCCGAGGGTATGTCATAGCTGCTGAGGAAGAATGGGGATGGTGTGTGCGCTGTGAATGAGTTTGTTACAGGATCCTTTACAAGGACAGCGTAGCAGATAGCTTCTGCTCCTTTCCTAGAACCAGGCAGTCATAAGGAAGCAAACTAATTAGAAATCATCAGAAGTCAAGCTCTTTTCCAGATTTCCCAGTCTCCTTCTCACAGACTCCTCATATCCCCTCCTCTTGAAATGAAATTTGAAGACCGGTTGAGATTTTAAATCTCAGCTTCAGTGAGGCAAAACCTGACCTCCGTAGTCCTCTCACACCAGTTGTCCCTGGTGTAATTAACACCACCCTGCATGCTTAGGCAATTCCTATTGTCACAGTGGCGGAGTGATGTACTCCTGCCACAGCTGGGGCGTGATGCAGTGTATGGCTCCACAGCTCCTGAGAAGCTTGTGTCTTCACCCGGTTGGAAGAATCTGTGCTGTGGTCTCTCCTGTATGTATGCAGAGTTTTACTCTGCAATTCCCACACCAAAACAGAAATGATTTGTCATGACACCTGCATTTGCCTTCCTTCTACAGTTAGGCGTTTGCTTCCTTACTGGGTCAGGATATCTAAGACCCCAGCCCCAAAACGTATGTCACTTCTCTGGGAAGTTTCATTTTTCCTCAGCTATTGCAAACACGATCTTGCTGAACAGAGCTGAATTTTTAAGCCTGGGTTTGTGGTGTGGATTCTGATGGCTTCATGTTAGTTCAAGTCTCTGAGGACCAGTGCCAATAAATGTGAAAGGGACAACAATAGATAGGCATACTGTTCCATTTCCACCAGGATGAAAAAACTGCTATAAATTAAGTCTAACCTTAAATGTATAATCTGTCCTTGGGAAGGAAAAAAAAAAAAGGATATAGCATCTTGAAGCTCTCGGCATCCCTTACGAGAAAAAATTGGTTCTAAGGGTCTCTGATCTTGTGTTTTAGTAAAATAGAACTGCACGGCTGACTGACAGTTCTGATCTAAAGCATTTACGTTTAAGTTTTGATCTCTCTGCTTTTGATTAAAACTAATGAGCTCATTTAATTCAAAATGGGAATCTCTGATAAGAGAAATAAGGTTGATGTGATTGGATTAGAGGGGCAAATTAAACTCTTAGAGCAGAAGTTTGTGCTTATATAGTGTATTAAAAAGCTGTTGGCGTATTATGGCGTGTTAGATGATGAGAAAAATTTCATAGTAATTCATATTTAATCAGAAGAAATGAAAGTACTAAATATAACATGGCTGTGCTTTTCCCTCGAGTGATAAAAAGCTGTACATTTAAAATGACATCAGATCCATGCTCTCTATAACAAAAAAGAAAGGAAGAAAGAAAGAAAGAAAGAAAGAAAGAAAGAAAGAAAGAAAGAAAGAAAGAAAGAAAGAAAGAAAGAAAGACATAAGAAGGGAGCATTTGTCAGTTGTTCCATCAACCCAGAGTAAACACAGGAAAACATAGTCTTATTAAGATAAGAATGATAGAAGAAAAGCCCTGGACCACAGGGCTTCTGTTATTACAGTAGCTTTCATTCTACATTTATCAGAGCATCAAGCTTAATATGAGAAATACAGATCACTTACTCTTAGAATCATATGAATTGCATTTCATGATTTAAATTTTAAACTTGTTTTTCCATTTTAATCTATTCTAATAGCTATTTTTACATATACTTATTCTTAAATCTCTTTATTATGTGTATATTTTTATCTCCACTCCAGAGAGAGTTTCTGTTAGTATAGGGCTGTCCAAAACAAGTCCTAATCTTTTTTTGGCCTTTTTTTTTTTTTTTACTTTTGAATAAGAAGACTTTAATATGTAAGAGTAAAACTACAGTATTTATTAAGCTGCAAGCCCCCAAATTAGTTTATTTGCAGGAAGACGTAATTTATAAAATACCTTTGAAGGTTATTCTTGAAGAAAATAGACTCATGTCACCCTTTGTCTCGTTTGCGTAAAGGTTCTTAGAGTAGCAAGATTACACACTACTTCAGTTTCATAAGTCAAAATATGCCTACTTCACCTAAAAACATAGAAAAGGGAAAAGTAACTATTTTAAAAGAGGAAATTTGTTTCTCATATCACAAGGAAAAAAGTGGGAAAAAAAAGACTGTTTCCCATTTGGGGAAGGCTGGGGCAAGATGCCACTTGGACAGGAAGGGGAAGTTGCTGTAAGTATTTTTCATTTCTGTCCGTCTGTGCATACTGTCCTTGTCCCTCTGTCTCGAGGCAATTGAGAAGACCTCATACATTTTGTTCCCCTCAGTGAACACAAACCAACTCAGGATGCTGGGGACGTTACTCAGGACAGGGCTTCCCAGCCTGAGGATTGTGTGGTTTCTGGAGCTCCCCAGTAGGGACTGGTAGAGAGAACAAAGAGCAGTTCCTTACCCTTTATCAGAAGCATGTCTCTGCCTATATCTTGGTTACGACATAAATCTATGGGGACCTCTTTTTTTGCCAACAGTTTTCTGCAGGCATACTAGCCAAGCCTCAAAGTGAATTTCAATTACTTACTTACTGTTAGACTCCACTTAGCGTGCTGCTGCTGCAAGTTAAGAGACCTGAAAAAGTCTAACAACTGGAAAGAAGTTACTTTAGATGTATTAATTTTTCTTTTTCATTTTCTGCAAAGTAAACATTTTCTAAATGAGGTAGATTGATTACTACACTCTTAGCACCCATCCTTCATTTATCTTTAGTGAACTCGAGGATTGCACCTGAGCAGTAGCTGTGAGGCACTGTGTAGAGACCGCAATCACATGTGCATGTATTTTTGTATTCCTCAGTGGAGTCCACCAGCCCCAGTCTGCTAACCACTGACAACACTCTTGAGCGTTCCTTTTTCATCCGAATGAAATCTACTCTGACCAAACGAGGCGTGCACATCAAATCATCAGGATATAAGGTAAGCCGGGTTCTGGGAGTGGAGACATTTCTGTCTCGGCAATCCCAGGTAATTTGCATTGAGTTTGCCAGCTGCTTTGGGTCCATATAATTAACACAGGTGACCTTGAGCAGCCCATAAGGTCCTACTCACATTCTTGTCTCAAGGTGAGCTTCTTTCTACCTCCTGGTCACTTTAGACACTGCAGGCTCTCTAATGCCCCAAGGTCATGTCTTTTCTTAAAACACTGGTTAATAATAGACCAAGTACTTTAGCACCTGCTAGAAATTCACTCTGAATGAAAAAGCGAGCTAATTCACATCGGTCCTTAAGGTGAGGGTTGTAGAACTGCTGCTTTTCTCACTTCCCCTGTCAAATACCCGCTTTCTCTTTAGAGAAGTTGCTATTTTGTTATTGTTTTTTTCTCTTTAAAATAAAAGATTGCTCTTTAGAGAAAGATTGTCCAATCTAATAACATGGTGACCATCTAGACGTGTACATGCAGATAAGAAAATCATGTTGGATTCTAGAAACCTTAATTTTGAAATTAAAATTATTACACATTCAGTCATACCTTGGTACATAGGGAATAGTCAATGTACAAAGTATATGCTCTTCACCAGCAAAGACTAAAGTACAGAGTCAAGCTTTATTGCTATTATTTTTAAGGTTAAGGTTATAAAATTTTTCTAATCTCTAGAAATCCCAGCATTCAGTTACTACAGTAACATAAATTAAGACCTATGAAATTTGTGAAATGCCTTTGGCAACCTGAACCTTTCCAGTTTTCCAGCACACTAACTGATTTCTTCAACAATATGTAGTGCGTGTAGGAAGGCAAACAGGAAGAGAGTGAACCAGCAGTGTGGCCAGCAGAACCTCTCCCACTTTTAGACTTCGAACTCCAGACAACTCAGTTTTTTAGGGCGACCATCGCTTTGTTAGAGGGGATCATCAAGCCTTAAAACCTGTATGTAAGACATCAGGAGACTCGCAGCTGTATAAAGTCAGAGGAGGGCACCTTCTCTGACATTAATTCTTCAGAAAAAAAAGAAAAAGAAAGAAAGGAGGTGGGGAGGCAGAGCCTTCCAAGGGCGACCTTTAGCGCAGCTGTCCTACAGGCTGAAAGGCATGTGGTGCATAACCTTGACCTTTTCCAGTTGTAAAGTTCTAAAGTGGTGAGTGGGCAGCTCTGCCTGCAGTAGCTTCACCTTTTTGAGTCTTGTTGCAAAGATTCAAAGTACTGTAATTTGGGGAAAGTAAAACCTTTGTGCCTAAGACCTTACGACCATGTTGTATTTCCCTGTCTTACTGAACACTATGCATTTATTAGTTGTTAACTGTATAGCATTAGCAAGTTTGGACTTTTGTAACAGACTACAGATGTCAAGACTATTATTATTTTAATACCAGAACGAGGCATTCTTTACATTCCAGAGCTTAGGAGCCATGAGGTTTCCTTTCAATTCCTGCTTTTCTGTCTCAGCATCTTTCTTCACATTTTATGGCTTTTACTGACTTACAGAGGCGTACCCCTGGTGTAAGAAGTGAGATATGCTCTGAAAAAGCAATTGTTAGCATAATTCAGTGTCATTAGATAGTTTAATTTTTATTCTTTCATACTACAAACTAGAGGTTACAAAGCTTTGCACATTTTTGGATCTGCAAATAAAGCACATGTATAGGTAAAAACAAATGGAGAAAGAGTTTGTCTAGGCAAGAGCCCAAGTTATCTTGTGTTGTTTGTTTGATTTGCCATACAGGCACCTCAGTAAAACTGTTTTTCCTGCCTGACCTGAACTTAGACAAATGAATGTGTTATACCAACAGATCATCCATTCATTCAGAAAAGATTTATTGAGTTCCTACTATGGAACATGTTCTATATCCTGAAAGCCCAGCAATAAACAATAAAAAGTGCTGTCATGGTGCTTACATTCTAGCAGCAGGAGATGGACTATCACAAGTAAATAAAGAAGGTAATTTCAAAGAGTGCTGAATATTAAATAACAACAAGTAACATCAGGTAGTCCTACCGGTATGCTGGGCTTGATAGTTTACATATTTTAGCCTTCACAATAATCCGACAGAAAATATTCTTACTGTTTTCATTTTACAGATAAAGAAACTAAGGCTGAGAGTGTCTTTAGCATATACAATACCACATGCTGAATTAGCAGAACTTGAAACTGGGGAGTCTGGCTCCACATCCCATGCAGTTAACCACCAGGCTACGCCACTATTCAGAGTGAAGTGACAAGACAGGGTGTGATGGGAGCTGTGGAGAGCACTTAAGAGAGGAGGATCACAGAAAGTGATCCTATGAGGAAGTGACATGATTTATGAGTGATGAATGAAAAGAACCACCGTGGAAGAAAAGGAAGAAAAATGTTTATGAAGCAACTTGAGTTTAGGATTAAAGATAACATTGCTCCAAAAGGGGCCTCTGCGAAACAAAATATTTAAAAATGAAACCTTGAGCAAACAGGGCTGAAAAAAACTTAGAAGCTATTACAGACCCCATCGAACAATGTCATATTAATGAGCCCATACTCCTAACATATCCTGTCAATGAGTCTTTGTCACCAAGCGTGGAGGTGCACACCTGTAATCCCAGCACTCAGGAGGCTGAGGCAGGAGGATCTTTGCAAATTTGAGACCAGCCTGGGCTACAAAATGAGCTCAAGGCCAGCCTGACCTGCATAGTAAGACCCTATCTCAAAAAGACAAAAAAAAGTCTTTCTCAAGGTGCTATGAAAGGCTTTACCCATTGCCTTTTTCCTTTCACCGGAGCTACTACCTACAAGAATTGATTCATCTGCTGTCCCCTACTAAGATGACTCATGTAACAGACCCAGCCATTCCCCTCTCTTCCTCTGCAGTGAACGTCCCTCATTAATTAACCTTGTCTAGAAGTTAGTGGAAAAGCTGATGAGAACCTATGACGTTATATACCTGAATAACATCCCTGTGTATCTGTTCATTCTCAGTACATAAATCTAGCATCTTATAAAACATTCCAATAAAACTGATAATCACCCCACCACCACACAATAAACACAAATAAAAAGAAACAGCAATGATAATTTCTCTGTACTCTCAGTATTCCCTTTAATTTACTTCCACTGTATGCATCTTTCCTTTCTCTTAGTTACACACCCAACATGTTAAGCTTTGTCTTATGCAGGTCATTATATTTCTCTCCATTTTCTTCTATGACCATGGCACGTGGACTTTTCTTACTTTCTCCATCTGTTTATCTGTTGTTGTAATCCTCACTGACAGTAATCACAGGTACAAAAGTACCACTGATTAAACACTGACATGCACTATGCCAAATATTTTATACTCTTTTTTAAATCTGTAAGTCATTATTATTTAAAAATTTCCCCTCTACATTCTATTATCACGCCCATATTGCAGATAGAAAAACTGAGACCTTAATAGGTGAAATCCTTACTTAAGAGCTACTTATAGCTCTTAAGTAGCTACTGAGAAGCTAAACTTGAATCCAGGCAATTAGACTCCAGAGTTTTCCCTTTCCGCACCTCTGCTTCACTGCTTGTCGTTAAAGTTCAAGGAAAGGCTCAAGATGAGATGTACCTTAACTAACACATGAAAAGTTAATTTAAGCTTCTAAAAGAAAGAAAACTTTCTTGTCTAAGTGTTCAGTGTGCAGCTCACTGTATCCCACTGCACTAATGTATCAGTGCTTGGCAATTTCAGCGTGCCCAAGGAGTTACTGAGATTTACTTTCCTTTCCCGGACTCTCATGTCTGCTTGTGTACAGGCCGAGCACTGCTAATCCAAACATCCTAGACTATCACCACCATATGCTCCAAAGTCAGAAACTTCTGAGCACTGACTTAACACAAGTAGAAAATTCCACACCTGACCTCATGTGACAGGTCTTAAAAAACACTAAAAACATTCTATCAAACTGCTTTCCTGTGTATATAAGGTATATATGAAACATAAATGGATTTCCTATTCAAGCTTGAGTTGCATCCCTAAGATATTTCATTATATATGTGCAGATATTGCAAAATCGGAAACAACCATTTCAGATAAGAGATACTCACTGTGTACCTCATAACCAAGAATTCTAGCCAAAGGAGTGTCAATCCCCATCTGTTAATTGAAGCACAGAGTGTAATATAAATTGTTGTGGCTCAGTTTGCCACACACTCCATCCTTAGGAAAGTTCCCCTCTCTCATGAAGTTCCCCAGCTATGAGCTGACTTTCAGTTGTTTCCGTCTTCATTTACTTTGAAATCCACAGTAGTGTGTTATCTGGTCGGCCACTTTTTGTGCCGTAAGGGCTTCCCTGTTGTTTAGGTCTCTTTGTTGGTCACATATCTTTACATAACACAGTTCTCATTTAAATTGCCTTGCACCGGTATTGTGCCTTCTTGATTAGGGCTATGTGTGGAAGAACTTACTAGGTGTAACACATGGGGTAAAAGGAAATATGTAATCAGGGAAATTATAGAAGTGAAGACTAATTGGGGTCAACTCCTTAGCGCCTGTCTTTGGAGGGTAGTTTCCTTCCGGGTGGGACTTTCGGTTTTCTAATCTACTCTTAAATGCCCACCAGCACCACTGTTGTTTCTAGAGTAAATACTCCCCACACACTGTGATGTCCTAACTGAAATGACAGTAAAACAGTCTAGACTGGGAAATAACAAAGGAAAAAACACTGTCACATTTTATATGATGCTGAGAATGTCTCTGAACTCTTCAGGGGTGAAACCTGCAAATGCAAGGAGTTCCCACTGTGACGTGCTAACTCATTACTAAACAAAGATGTGCAAAGTCAGGATTATTCAAAGTAAAAATCCCTCACCTAGAATGACTTGAGTATGGATTTGCTAGGAGCTAAGTGTTCCACTAAGTGACTTCTGAAATCCTATCTAGTCTCCCTGTGGTATAAAAAGTCAGAAAAAAGAAAATACGGTAGTTGGTAAATTCACTGATTTGTTAGGATTTCTGATAAACCTCAGTTTTAATTACCTATAGCT